GATCAGAGGAGAAAGCAATTTTTTTTCATTTTACACCCACTTTATCATTTGGAGGAAAAAATTATTACAGAAGCCACACATTTATCACTGTTTTAATATTTTTTTGTTTTTTACTAAGACAGACCAAGAAAAGGTAAGGAAGAGGGGAAAAAAAGGGAAGACAACAATTCTCGGGTTTTAAAAAGCACAGGGAGATAGGCTGATAGAAACGTATCTTATTTCCTGCCTTTTCTCCAAAGAGACTTGAGGTAGCAAACAAAAGTTTATTTGTAGGGTTAATAAAATGCATAAGAGAAAATAAGATTCTGATAAAAGAGCTAATATAACTTTTACAACATGTGAAATTTGACTGTGGGTTTCCCGACAGCCACAGCAAAGATGAGAATGTGACTGGTCATATGTTATGGTATTTATTTTCAAGGGAAGACGTATATCAATTCATCAATTACTACCTTGCCTACAGATGTGTTTCTCCTGTCTCAAATACCATCTTGGTCTCACTTCCAATTTTTCGACCAATCACCAAGCACAGCATTTCCTTGGGTTCATACTCACCCCCATTTCTTCTTCCCGTACCACATACTGGGCCACTTTAAATGAGCTCAAATATTCATTCATGCCCTGCAATTCTGTGTCTTCAGTCTCATCCTGGTTACGGTCCAGCAGTCGTTCAATGGCCTTATCATCATAGTGGATAACACTGCTATCCTCTCCCTCTTTGTTGTCTCCTCCTATAAAGAATCAGGGGTCCATACCCCCAAAGTCAGCTTCAGCAGCTGCAGTGGAAAAAGCAAATTCCACAGGACCCTAGGTCCAAGTCCTAGGACCCTAGGTATCAAAGATACCCTTTAGAAAGGCGAAACCCCACACCAAAACAAGTTCCTGACAAGCTCACCTCCATCTGTAGCTTCATCCTTGAATAGTTCCTCAGTGCCAAACTTGAGGATGTCATCGAGCTCCTGTTTGGACATGGATCCAGTTTTGGAGCCCAGCCCAGGCCGAACCACTAGATGTGTCAGCATCATCTTCTTCTTAGCCACCTGCGTGATACGCTCCTCCACTGACGCACGCGTCACAAACCGATAAATCATCACCTTCTTATTTTGCCCAATACGGTGAGCTCTACTAAAGGCCTGGAGTTGGGCACAAAACAGAGCCAGAAATTAAAATAACCTTATTTTCCTCTTTCCACTCTTGCCTTGACTTCCACATAATAAGCTAAATCCAACACAAAGCAGGAGCTGCAGCTTGCCTTCATATAAAACATCCTTCTGCACCCCTGGCCCCAGACACCACCCTCTACCCATGTTATCCAAAATAGGACCATAGCTAGCCCAAATTTTCTGGCTTACAATACAGTAAAAAACATTTTTTTAAAAAGCTACTATTTTCCCCTGAAACAACTAATACCAGGTGGTGGAGCCCTCACTTCCAGTAAGATACTGTATACTAAGGTTGTTACTTCTGCTCACCTGGATATCATTATGGGGATTCCAGTCAGAGTCATAGATAATGACTGTGTCAGCAGTGGCCAGATTGATTCCAAGGCCCCCAGCTCGAGTAGAAAGCAAGAAGCAGAACTGTTGAGCACCCGGTGCTAAGAAAGGAACCAAAAACACCATTAAAGTGTCTCCGAATTCCAATTAATAATGTACAAGGAATATCACAAATATAAATCCTCAATAGGCGAACGCCATGGTAATAATGACTGTAAGCAAAGTCCACCGATGGGTACAAGGTCCACGGAATCAGTGTGAAGGCTTAAGAAGAAACAGGATGTTACCACTGTCTCAAATCTCTCTCTCAAGATATTTATCAGTTACAATGGGAAAAAGAGTAACTTTACAGTGAAGAAACTCAGCCAACACCACCTGAACAAGTGATCAATGTTAACATCACCCACAATGGGACAGTCCCATCATCATGTGCTTCCCCCTGACATAGGATGCACTCAAAAGGACACTGGGGCCGGCCAAGGGGCGCGATGGTTAAGAACTGGCTTGGGACGCCAGAGGGCTCCGGTTCGGATCCCACATATGAGGGCCAGTGACACGGCCATCCAGAAGCCGGCAACTGATGTGCCTCGCTCGGGAAGAGCGCAATGATGGTGCCAACTTGGGCCAGTGAAGCAACGTCCTCCACAACTAGACACAAGAACAAAAACGACAGCAACTTGTCTGTTCCCCTTCCCCCAATTCCCCAGCACTGTTCCCATCCCCCCAATTCCCCAATAAAAATCTTTAAAAAGAAAG